TGTATGTATGTATGTATGTATGTATGTATGTATGTATGTATGTATGTATGTATGTATGTATGTACGTATGTACGGAATGCTATTACCTTCCCACTAAAGTGATACCTACTTATCTACTCACATTTGCATGTTTTCAAATGGCCAGGTGAGCAAGAGCTGGGGCAAATAACAGGAGCTCACTCCATTGTGCAGAGCTTGGGTCTCAAACCTTGGCTATCAGTTTTCCAGCTGACAAACTCAGCATCTTCAACTGCTGAGCCATCTCTCCCCTCTAGACAAGCTAAAATCACAGCAGGTGTACAACTAGCTGACCTTGGCTAATCTCTGACGGTTAAACAAATTCACACCTGATGAATCCATGGACCAAAGATTGCCAAGAAATAACACAGCTGTGGACTAAAATTGGAAGTGGAAGAACAGAACATGCTGGAGGAAAGCAGTGGCAAGACACATGTTATCCACCAGAGAACAATAAAAAAACACATTGCCCAAACTTACAGTGATAAATTGGTATCTGTGGAAATAAAAAGCCAATTTATTGCAAAGCCACCAGGGTTTCTTTTTTAGGTTATACTGAACAGATGTATGTTTAAACTTTAAACTAATGTTTTACTTGGCAAATGAAAATATTTCCCTGTAATGGCACCATTTTTAAAAGTCTTAAATACAGCATTTCACTTCTATCAGCACATTGAATCAGACAGCTCGAATAAACAGGTGAGAACTAGGAAAGATAAAAGCAGTTATATGTGGATTGTGAATTTTCTCCTACACAATCGGTTTTCTGCTGCTACAGGAAATGTGATATGCATTACCACATTGCCTGTGATAATTATCTGTTAATTATCACATTATTATCCGTGCCTATTGCTTATTTCCAAGAATATTACTAGTAGTCTTCAAATTAGTTACACAAGGAGTCATTGACTATTATTAGATTATCCTGAGTTTCAGATATAGGTAGTCCTCCATGTATGACCACAACTGAGCCCAAAACTTCAGTTGCTAAGCAAGACAGTTGTTAAGTGAATCTTGCCCCATTTTATGGCCTTTAAGTGAATCATGCAGTTGTTAAATTAGACTCCCCTCATTGACTGGATACTGCATCTGTCATAAGTGCAAAAACAGTCATAAGTCATTTTTTTCAGTACCATTGTAACTTCAAATGATTACTAAATGAATAGTGATAAGTCAAGGACTCCCTGTATATAATTTTACCCTTCATGTTTTCTAAATCCTTTTTAGAAAATACTTTATTTATAATAGTTTCAATTTTATTTATGGAACATCATTGCCAGTATATTTATTTTGATTCATTTATTTTACTGTTTATTATTCTCTTAGAAGGGAATATTCACTACTGTTTCTTGAAAGAAAAAAGTATTTGCTTTTCTTATACTTTTTAAATTTGTTTCAAACCAAACCAAAGCCCTGCCTTAATCTGGGATCTAACCTTTCAGGTCACTGGTCACATCTGGAATGTTGAGATCATATTATGGCAGTGGTGGGTTGTAGGCTGTAAGCCCCGGTACGGGTGTATCGGTGCCTGCCGGAAGCACTGGGTACCATTCCGGTACGGTGCTCTGGAGGGCCCACCACCAGTCCACCCTCCTTACCTGTATTTGAGCTCTTTGGTGCTTCCGCGCTTGCACACGGAGTGTACGGCGCCTGCCCAATGCTCCGCCGAGCAGCTGGGGCATCGCAGGCGGTGCACATTCATGTGGTGGACACCAGGCCCCGTTGCACTGTACCAGTTGCAACAGGATCTGGAACCCACCACTGTATTATGGGCACCCTTGCAAAACAGGTGTGGCCAATCAGGTATTGGTACACCAATATTGATAAGTAGGTAAGAAATTATTATATATACTTTCTTGAGAATAAGCCCTAATGTGTAACTTAGTTGAGAGCTGTGGTATAGTAGCGTTTCTCAACTTCGACTGTTTGAAAATGTGTGGACTTCAACTCCCAGAATTCTATGCTGGCTGAGGAATTCTGACAGTTGAAGTCCACACATCTTCAAACTGCCAAGATTGAGAAACACTGGTGTAGTTTATAAGGAGTTGGACTGGCACTGGGGAGATCTAGGTTTCTTCAGCCACAGGTACTGAGTAACTTTGGCCCAACCTACCTCACAAGCTTTTTGTTGTGGAATAATATGGAAGAAGTCCTATGCAAGCTTCTCTAAGCTCTTGGTTTAAAGAAGGGTGATAACTCTAACAAATAAATAAATCACACTAAATACTTCCAAAGAAGCAGTCATATCTAGTTAAATCAAGGTAGCAAATCACATTTTCTGTTAAAAGATAAACTTCTTGCTTAAAAGAGCAGCTCTTTCACTCTTTTTTCAGTTACTTCTTTTTTCAAGGAAGACAGTATCAGCTAAAATTTATTTAAATGCTTAGCTATCTTTTGATTTATGACTCTTACAGAATATTTGGCTCTTTAAGTTTCTGCTCTCTCTGATAAATTAATTACTTTTTTATCCTTTAAAACAGAGCATGGAACAAGTTGTCCTGATTCAAAAAACATGTGAAAATCCAACTTGAAACAAACAAATCAACTTAAATCTCAATTATCTTTCTCTGCAGCCTAGTTCTTACTGAATAAAACAGAGAAACACAGCTGAATATTCTCCACCTACCTGAATAACTCACCTAATGAGAAGGAAGGACTCCCTAAAGAAGAGCCTAATGCTGGGAAAGATTGAGGGGAAAAGAAGAAGGGGACAACAGAGAATGAGATGGCTCGATGGAGTCACCAAAGCAGTTGGCATGAGCTTAAATGGACGCCAGAGGGATGGTAGAGGACAGGAAGGCCTGGAGGAATTTTGTCCATGGGGTCACAATGGGTTGGACATGATTTTGCAACTAACAACAACAACCTGGATAACTAAGAGTTATTTTCACTCTAAGCTTTTGTTAGAAAAGTTGTCCCTTATTACTTGTGACTATGGCTAACTTTCTTTTTCACCCTATATTTGCTTTGTTCAAAAGTTTATCAAGGCCTCTCTGAGGTCCATAGGCTGTCTTACTATAATCACATTCTTATTGGTTAATGAAAGCATAACTGCTAGAATAGACACAGCTGGAAAACACTATGAGGCTACAGAAGAGAAGAGTTCTGTGGCTCAATGTTAGCCATGCTTATTCAAAATAAGTTTCCCTTCCAGAAAAGCAGGTTTGTTTTTGCAATTATTATTTTTTTTGGAGGGGGGAGGACAAAGAACTGAAATGTACACAATGGCTAAGTTCACACATTGATTTAATCAAGGTTGATTGAACAAACAACTTAGTGGGATATGTGAATCCTACGGCTTGTTCTTCAAGTGTGAGTAGGTGTGCCTTCAACTCAGTTGACTCCTTGGATAAGTTCCTCAGTTTTCTTAGCAAGATTTCTGAAGTAGCTTGCCATTACCTGCTTCTTAGGGCTGAAAGAGAGCGACAGGCCCAAGGTCACCCAAGTAGCTTTGTGCTTAAGGTGGGACTTGAATTGATGATCTCCCACTTTCGAGCTTTACTTTCACTACACTAAATTGGCTCTCCAATCAATGAAGGTGACTTTAAAAATTGTGGCTTAATTTAAGGGTATAAAAATTGCTTTCATCTCACCTAGATGCAAGCGAAGACCTACCTTTTGGCAAACCTCTAAGTCAGAGGTCCTCAAACGTTTTAAAGAAGGCGTCAATTCACGGTCCTTCAGACTGTTGGGGGGGGGGGAGACCAGCTGGGTGGGTGTGGCTAAGTGGTCATGTGACTGGGTGGGCATGACTAAGTGGTCATGTGACTGGGTGGGCATGGCTAAGTGGTTTGTTATGCTTCTGGGATGTAAAGCAGGTTAGTGAAGGGATGTGGCTGCTTTGGGAGGGGGGGCTGTGAGGGACGTCTGTTTCTCTCTCCCCTCTCTCTCCCTCCATCCCTCCCTCTCTCTCTGGAGGCCAGGGATACTAAAAACAAGCCTCTTTTTGGCCTCCTCGGCCTCCAGAAGGTGAGTGGGGGCCAGCAAGTAGGCAGGGCAATGTGGGGGGAGGAACCTCATGGTCCAGTGCGGGCCATATCCGGCCCCCGGGCCTTAGTTTTAGGGCCCCTGCTCTAAGTATTATCTCAATTATTTCATCTAAAGTGCAAGCTCAAAACCCATGCCGGAATGGCAGATAATGCTTACATCTGTTTTCTGGAAATATTAACCCATAATTGTAATACCAATCAAACTGCTTTCCTAGTTAACTGGTAGAGAGTACTTGGATATTTGTTTTCTGTCTATCCCTCCAAAAAATGCATAAAGGTTTGATTGTTGTTTTTGTTAATGCTTTACAGCTGAAAGTAACTAAATAACCTTCAGGGGAAAGTAAACTTTTTTTTCCCCCTACAAGCATTCTTACCCGGTTGGAGGTGATTTAGTCGGAGGAACATCTGTTTGACTCCCTTCCCATCGTCATTCGTTCTCAGAACTCCCACTATGTATGTCGGCCTCTAGCCTGTTTATTCAATTGCTTGCTTGGGGTTTTTTTTTCTCCCCCTTACAGAGTAAATCAACCAGACTTCCCTTAAATGTCTTGCAGGCAACTAATGTCTTTGATGTTGTCTAGGTTTTATAATGAAAGTGGAAATCCATGTATAATTATGGATGTGTTTAAAATAGGTCCCACACTAGTGTGCAGTGGAAATTGTGCTTTGGCTATTTTGAAGGTTGCTAGTTGCTTTTATAACTTTGTTGCTGTTTCTCTGATATGGTTTGTATGGGTTTTTTAAATATTTGAATATGTTTTCATATTTGTTTTTATCTGTTGTACACCACCCAGAGTCATTTTGAAATGGGAAGGAAGGAAGGAAGGAAGGAAAGAAGGAAGGAAGGAAGGAAGGAAGGAAGGAAGGAAGGAAGGAAGGAAGGAAGGAAGGAAG